ATGCACTGGCTTCAGTCGGCCAGAGGAACAGGAGCAACAGCAAGTCGGCGGGGGAGGGCACACAACACACGGAAGTAGTTACCATCATGCCAAATATGACAAATGCTGTTGCACATACAGCCCCGAGTACAAAAAAAAAAGGACCTTGGTCCTTGCAAAGAACTATCCCCGACCGACTGACACGTAAACTGCATAAATATAAACGCAGCCGGCGAACGTGCGAGACATGGAGGCGAACTACAACCAGCTAGGGCAGATGGCAATCCAATGCAAAATTTAACAAGCTGCACCCGCCCCAGACCAATGAGCGAAGGAACCGAGACACAGGCGATTAGGTGTCGTTCGGAGAGCAGTGCAAGTGCACTGACATATCAAATATCCAGAGAATTAGTGAATATTTGTTTCTCGAGGAGTTTACCTCCACTTGGAGTACCCTAATAAAATAATTCATTTTCCACTTGTTACAGAAAAATATTTAATGAAAGTAACTTGCAGTACACTAGGTTTTTGTTCAGTGATCCTAGTGAGACAAGATGCAGTCTGGCTGGTGGGGGGAATCCCCACAAAGACCGCAGGGGCAGCAGCTGCCGCTTGCAGCAGGCAAACCCAACTGCCACCAAAGAAGATGCTGCGCCACCCCTCTGCGGTTGCCATCAGACAATGAAAGTAACCGGCAGCACCAGAAACTGTAGCAGTCTTTTTTGGCAACAGCAACAAACAGGGGTAGAATATTTTAGCTGATTTGCAAACGCAAAATCCGCTTAAGGTTAAAATATGCAAAGTGTTTGTTCGCCTGTTGGCCCGGCGAAGTGAGAATGTGAAATGACATTTTCGGGGCGAGCCGGAGGCAACAAACTCCGTTTGTATACTGCAATATTGTGCATTTCCAGGCAGCGAAAGACAATGGAAAACAAGAAAGGCAGAAACGAGGCCTCAAAGTAAGGATGACCGACGGAAAACAAACGGCCACGTCAAAGCTCCTTGAAAGCGGGGATGGTCAACAGTCAATAGGATTGCCTTGGCAGCAACGAAAAGGGGAGGTGCCGCCAAGTCAACTTCTTTCGAGACTGGCCACGCCGAAAGGATATTGCGAATTTACCAACGGAAGCGGAAGTGCAAAACTAGCAGGAAACGCACTCACACCGAAACAGAATCGATATCTGTTTGTCTCCAGCCACACTTACACAAGAAACGGAGTGCAGTCAGGACAAAGGGCGGAGCTGGGAGCCAGCCCGGATCCTTGGATGCTTCGATATATGCAAATGCCACTCGTTACATTTGCATTTGGCCAGGCAATGGACTTACTTCTGCCCCTACTTCTGCTGGAAAAGTGGATTTAGATAAATTCACTTTCACAATTGACACTATAAACAGATTGCGGTCCAAATTGCTGGCCACAGGGAGAGCGAAATAGACGGAGTTTGAGCAAAAACCCTAAGCAGCTTCCTTCCCTGCGAGTCGTAATTGTTTAACCCAATGGAAATTTGTATTCGAACCGGAAATCTGACCAGGAAAATCAGAACCAGACTGCCGTAATTACCAACCGCACGCCTTGCATAATTATCAATTTACATTTGATTGCGTTTGTTTATTTGCGCAAATAATTATTTGCATGCTAAAATAATTGCAACGACTGCAGGCACAGCCATTACGAGTAAACCAGAACCAGATTTTACCTTTGTCCAGCTAGCTGTTAATTAGCGACCATACCAGAGATTTCACCTGCAGAAACAAGAAGCAACAAAGACCTCCCATACACTTTGTTTAATGGGCTTAGGCCCTGCTATTTGGTACATTTATCAATGGCGGATTTGCTAAGCCAACTCTCATTACCACGCACTTTCTCCTAACTGCACACGCCCCATAAAACCCAGTTACGTATGCAGCAATTTTCGAGGCCCAACTGCCGCCGCCTTCCCAAAGTCATGCAAGATTTATGAGAATGTCAGGCGGGCGGCGGGGGTCTGGTGGAAATTTAATCAAACGCCAAACAACCCTTTCGTGGGATACAGAAATCAAATTTCGAAATTTGCAAACAGCGCCTGGGCGAAAACTTTCATATAAGAAGTCGGGGAAGGAATGGTACCGTAATGGAAATGGTCGAAAATTGCGGGGATCACATTCCACGGCCAGGAATGTCGACCGCTCACTCCAGGAGCATGTCCTTCAAATACAATATACTCCATCAACAACTGCAGTTGAAACAATAGGAATTATTCAATTTCAAATGCTAAAAGAAATATACAAAAAATACAAAATATTAGTTTAAATTTTGATATATAGTTTTTAGTTCAAATTTTGATATATATTCTTACAAAACTTAAATTACTAACACTCTGAGCTATGCTTGGAGCTATTTTTACGAGCTCTGCTGTGCACACATATTCTCCCCGAATGAAACTGATTCTATGCAGAGTATGTGTTCGTGTGCATTCGGGTAAATTTCATCTTGGAGCAGCAACATAAAAACGTCGAAAACATGGCAAACATTAACGGAAAAACAATTTTCATAAATCTAGAATTATTACCCGGGAAGCACAAGCACAAAACAACAAAAAAAAAAAAGGAGAAAAAAACCTAAAGAAAAGAAAAGAAACTCAGGGCAAAAGCGGAAGTACGCTGTGTCCATTGAGGCAACAAATTTGCCAAAAAATAAAATTCCAACCAGCATATGGAAGATGGAGGCTGCCGAATACCCTGCCATTTGGGGCTGGGGAAGGCACCACACGTATAGGAAAATGACCCCAAAGGGCGAACCCTCGCGAAAAGTTTCTTGGCAAACATATTTGCAAAAGCATTTATTATTTCATATTTTACGCCTATTTCGGGGGGTGTTTTTTTTATAGGGAAAACAGAAGGCCGGTTGGGTGGGTGTAGCAAAGTGCTTATGTAATTGCAAAGTGTTTCGCAAACAAGCCGCCGCCATAAATCACATAATTCACGCTGAACGCACAAGAGCCCTTCGCATTGTCTTTTTTAGCTGCCTTCCATCTGCGTTCTAATTCGATTTTTGCAATCGCTTTGAAGTCCACTCAAATTTCAATAATTCTCCTCTTTCATCGACATGCAAACGCAAACAAATTATAGTAAGAGGAGTGGAGAGGATGAGTGCAAAAAATATTCTAAAAAAAAAAGGACGGAGACAACCAAGAGCTGAAGACATCAACTGTCGCTGTGAAATCTGTTATTAAGCCATTTATAGTTAAGGCAAACAAAGCGGACCGAGCCGGGCGGAGTGAGCGACACTTGAATGCCCGAGTGCTTATAGACACACTTTTCAATGGCTTATCAAAATCTTAAGCTGACGACAATGGCTGTCTCGTTGACAAAGGAAAACCCTCGCACACATGCGAGACAATTTATAAAATTAAAAGTCTTGGGAGTCAGGCAAGTGAAAGAAATGCAATGCGCCAAGGCGGGGCAAGAGACAACTCCTCGACCGATTTCCCGGCTTTTCCGCTCAGTCGCCTGGAAAGCCGTTACTGTGCACCACCAGTTCGATAAAAATGAGTGGGTGAAAGTAAGAGGGAAAGCGAGTGTGAGTGCGAAAGTTCCCTTCACTGCATTTGGCATATGCCGCAAATATTAGTTCGCCTAATGCCTCCGAATCATGAAAGGGAAATCTGCGTTTGCGTGTGCGTGAAGTGGTCATGACAAATCCGCTAAACACGACAAGAATTTTCACAATTTGCATATTGCAAATCACTGAGAGATTGCACTGAAATAAAATATATGGTATAAATAGATCAATTTACTAACAAATAAAACAAAATATAACAAAATAATAGATATCTTGAGGAAGACAAGTCTTTGTTGATATATTTCTTAACTTACAAATACTTCGTAAATGGATTTGTTTGCTACAAACAATTTTCAAATTTTAAAAATAAATACCACAAAGTAGTAGTATTCGAAATACCTTAAAAACATTTCTTAACATTATCATATCCATGAATTTGTCAATTTTCAAACCTAAATAGATTTTCTCCAGTGCCTATGCAAATTACCTGGCAATGTAGTAGTAGATTAATTTGGCGCACATTTAAGTAGGCTACACCGCCAGATCATTTTCCATCTTCTCTATTCCCCTTTCCCCATTTTCATTTTCAGGTTGTGACACATGACAAATCACAAACGCAAGCAGTTTACAATTGATGTTAAATCAAAGCTATAAACACGATGTGAGTACGGTGTGTGTTTGGGTGGTGTGGATGAGTGCCTTATTTGTCACACACATTCAAAGAGCGGCTACGTGACAATTTCTGTCATTCCGCCCGGGGGCGTATCCGTTTCCGTTTGACTTTCACTGCACTGCGGCTGCGACTGTTTTTTGTTTAACTTAATTTTCGGCAGCGCCCAAATGCTCCGCTGGCTTTGGCTCTGGCGCCACCTTTGTTTATGCTCTGATTGTTGTTTATGCCAGCGCACACACACACACAATATGCAAATGCCAGGATGCCAGGCCAACGAAACGGACAAAAGGATTGGGCTTCGGGCTGACAGCCGTTTGACAAAAAGGAAGCCTAAACTTTTGGCCTCAGCTTAAGTGCCACGGCGAGCATTATTCACCTGGTTGGCCACGTTTTCCTCGCAGTCGCCTGGGAATTTTCCTGGACGCACGTGAGGAAAGCGTAGCAGCATAGACATTTCCCCAGAAACTGTCAAGCTTTAATCAAGTGTCAAACAGCATGTCTAAATTAACATACGAAACGTTGACTCGAAATCAATCCAGGTGTCAATCAGTGTTTGCGGAAAAAACAATTCAGTGTAAGGTATTTTAATAAATATTCATATAGCCGAGATTGGAACTTTCAGTAACAATGAAACTTTTTCATTTAACATCCTTTATAAATTATTTAAAGCCAGTTTTTAAATATCAATCAATTGTTGCCATTGAAAATGTAATAAAGCCTTTATATTGTTAGCATATAAATATTTTTGAAAACAAAAAGGTTCACGCTAATTACTTTGAAAAGAAAAGCCATACAGAAAGTCTGTAGATGCTTTGTAGAGCCTTTTTTCTCTGACTTTTCGGAATAAACGAATTTAAATTAATTAATGTAAGCATGTTAATTATATTTAATAATATTCCGAAATAAACAAAATTAATCTACATATTTTATAAATTCTTTCAATAGGAATTTATGCATCCACATACATCACCCCAGCCTACTTTTATTAGCCAAATGCAAGACTTAAAGACCCATCGAAAGTTTTCTGAACAAACGAGGACCCTCGAATACGAAACTTACTGTCGAGAGTACTCGACAGACGCAGGAAAAGAAGTTGGGGGACAACTTTTGCAAAAATGCCGAGCACCTCAGCACAATGGCTAGCGAAATTGCCGGCTGACCGCCCATAAATGCATAGAAATCCAGTGCAGAAATTAGAGGAAATCCACAAATCGAAGCAAAGTTTTTCCACTTTTCCGCTCCGCCCTGCTGCCGCTTTATTGTTCGCAAATTTCCCTGGGGCCTTATAAACTCCGAGCACCATGCACCACCACTAGTATTTCGGTAGTGCAAACATTTGCGCTGCTGATTACTTTTAATGCTTTTCATCGAGTGGTGTGTATGTGTGTGTGTGTGTGGTCCTGGGGAAAAGCGGAAAATCAGCTAGAGGCCTGGCCACATCAATCAGTTCGAAGAAAACGTACAAAAAAATTGACCTAAATTCTGAGCAAACCGAAATCGTGTTAGCCATACCCCAAAACAAAATTCTGAATTCCATCATTCGCGCTTTTCCTCTGTCCATAAAAGTTGTGAAGAAACAAAAATGTCGCGCTTTTGGCCGCCGATTTTCCACTGCGCCCGCTTCAACTTATGCTTTGTGTCTCAGTTTCTGAATGACAATTACGAAAAAGTCAAGGGTTCCTTTTGGCCGAACACCCTGGTTCTCAGCGCCTTGTCGAAGAGGGATTTCAAGAAACCAAAGTCTAACAAAAAACATAGCGCCCACCGGGCCTCGTTTCGCGAGAACACTATCTTGGCGTACGAGAATCGGCTGCGACGCCACTCGGACCCCATGAAGGTGTTCCGGTACTTTGCCACCATTAAAATGAAGAACAAGGCCGGCAGGTGGGATTTGTTCATGACCCCCCAGGACTTTTTGCGATCGATCCTGCCGGGATTGAGGCAACCGGAGCATTTGACATTGGCCCGTTACCGTCTGCTGGACGAGGAGGCGGCCGAAAAGTGGCGGGCTGGCGCCCAGAAGGACAGCATTTTCCTCAAGCTCGACGACACAGGTCTGCTAGACTTCAGCGACTACGTGCTCCTGACCATACTATTGTCCATTCCGGAGCGTCATGTTTGGATTCTCTTGCAACTGTTCGATCATGACGAGGACGGCACTGTGAGCATGGAGGATCTGGAGCATATAATACGGGTCATCAGCATGGGTCAGGCCTCCATGGTGAACTCGCATCTGAAGCGCGCCCTGTTCGGACCGCGACTGAAGAAAAAGCTGAGTATCAATGAGTTTCTGGAGTTCCTGCAGGGGCTGAACAAAGAGATTCTTGTTCAGGAGTACGAGATGCTGCGGAAGGACTCCAGGTAAGTGTTGTCAGAGCCTAGCATCTTCCTTCAAGCTTCTTATATCCCTCTCCCGTTTCTCAAGTTCCGTGATCACAGAACTGGACTTTGCCAAGGTGGTGCTGGCCTACACCAAGTCTTTTAGAGCGCGCGGCGAGGCGCTGGAGCGAGTCAAGGAGAAGTTCGGCCAGCAAAAGATCGGGATCAGCCTGGATGAATTCATGTCCTTTTCCCGGCTGGTGCAGGACGTCGAAACTGTAGACATGGCGCTAGCCTTCCACTTTCTAGCCGGCGCAGATATCAGCCCCCAAACGCTGGAGCACATCGCCCAGCTGGTCGCTGGTGTGAAGCTGTCGCCGCACCTCATGTCTGTGATCTACACCATCTTCGACAACGACGGCGATGGAATTATCCGGCGGGAGGAATTTATCAAGACACTTCGCGATAGGTTGCGTCGCCTGCAGCATAAAAAGAAGCTAAGGCTCACATCCGGGATATGCATTCTGGGTAAATGCTGCTGGAAAACCCTGCCATTTTGGAGGAGTAGGAGTTTAGGAGTTTAGCTGCTGAACCGCAGCATGGAGTGCAAGGCTCTGGTTTTATGTGCTTCTTGTGATGTCCTTTACCCAACTCCTTTGCGGGTAAACGCTTTTAGTCAGTTGACAATCTTACACGGAGGAAAAAAATATACTATGTGCACGCTATCTGATCTGTTTTAATATTACTAGTATTTATACTGGCGATGGATAAGGGTGATGCAAATATCACTCCTTTTTATAGCCGTGTAAAATAAAAGCCTTCATTTGACGTAACCTTCTCGGGCAGCAGGGGAAGTTCAGCCCAGAAAAGCGCAGTCTGTTTGCCTTTGTCTTGAAACATTTCAACTTTGCAAGCCGCCAAGTTGAACGAGTTGAAAAATGAAGCTTCGAGTCTACGGGATGAAATCCATTTTGTTGTCCCGACACTCGAGTTCCGTGCGAGCGGTGGGAAAATTCAAATATAAAGCAGATTCCCCGACCACGTGGCTTACATGACTTTGAACTTTTATCACCTGCTGCCAAACGGTCCCAGTTCCCAGTCAGCCAGCTCCAAAAAGGGGAGACCCTGTGTGTGGCTTTGTGTATGGATGGGTGTAACACAGCACTTACCAAAACAATTTAAAATACTTGCGGTAGCACACACTCGAGGGTCGGCGTGTCGAGCTGCTCAACTGTCGAGACAATAGTTTGCCACACACAAACTTTATCTGGACATTGGCAGGCAGCCGAAAGTTGATGACTGCCGGACAATTAAGGTCCCGAAGTATTCCGGATATTTGTGTAATTCACTACCCGAAATGGCCGTCGACATAATTAAATGAAACGAATTCGTTGACACTCCTAACTGGAAAGGGCTCTGCGGTAAATAATAATTACGATTCACATCCGAAAAGAGCTGTTAATGGCATGTCATCGATAACAAAAAGTAAGGGTTGTCGAAAATCTTTTATGCACTCGGCTATTGATTTTATGTAAGAGTAGCTTGACACTTGTCTTTGATGGTAAATATTAATTAATAAAGGGTAAATCATTTTGATACAAACAAAATGGGTGTTGGTTATAATAATAATTAAAATTTACCTCATGGAAGGAAGAAATTCCAAATGTCCTGCGAGTGGAAAATCATTTATGCACGCGGCAAAGGACTGAAAGTTTTATCAATTTACTGGCTGCGGCACAGTCCATGAACCCTATAGTTTAGGCGTCCATAAACATGTCGAGGTTACCGCCACCGCCTGGTAACTTTCACACAGCACTTTAGAAAAATCAAACTTGTGTGTTTACACGTGTGCTACAACGAGATCCTCGCAGTTGTCTGTTCGCAAAACTTTGGAAACTCGACGCGTCTAGGAAGTGCGATAAAAATAAACATGGAAGCAAAGTTAGTTCGGTGCCGTGCCACGCCCCCAAAGTGCAGCCGCAAAATGTTGAAATTATTCGAAAGAAATTCCACAAGCTGCAGGCCAGAAATCAATTAAATTGGCAAACAGACGACCGGAGCAAATGGTAAGCCATAAATCAAAAATTATTATTTCACTCTCCGAGGCTGGGGGGCAGTCAAACGATGTGGCCTCCAGTGTGGCGTATAATCAAGAAATCAGCATCAACTGTCAATGGGATTTTCCTTTGAATAAGTCAGAGGTATTTCTCAATTTCTAATAACTATTGGCCAGGCTCTTTATTGTCCTGGCCGACGTAGAAAGGCATTTACAACATTTTAAATTTTGTGCTCAAATTACTATTGCTCGGTCTATTGTGAGACCACAAATTCTGATGACTGCTTCGGAGCAAAAATTGTTTTGGTCTCCTCTTACGCCTCGGCTAGCCAAATTGTGTTTGAAGCAATAACGTTTGACTCTGTGGCACACATGCCTATTTTCCTATTTCACTATTTTTGTTCTCTCCTGTCCTCTGACCCCTTTTTTATATTCATGCCACTCCTGCCGACCCCCCATTTATGTGTGAGATATTCAAATTTATAAATTATGCAATTTTATGGTTTTAAGGCGTAGAATGTGCAAAAATATTGTTTTACACACGCTTATGTCCGACCATGAAAACACACACACACACACTTTCCAGTTGCCTTGCAGCACCGCCCACTGCCCACTGGGCAGCACCCAGTTTTACCTTTGAGCACCTGCACTTTAACATAATTTGCATGCATTTTGGCTGCTCTAATGCTCCGCTGGGCGGATGCGAAGGTTGTCCGTTGTCCATTGTCCGTTGTCCGCCTGGCGACACTTATCTGAATTATGAATATGCAGGTGCTTATCGGCCGGAATATACCTACATATTTGCAGCTGTGTGCGTCTCGGTGCAAATATACGTGTTGAAGATTTAAGCAGCTGCAAATTTTATTTATCATCAAAGATTCGCAAAGCATTAAATCCTCAAGGCAAAAGTCAAATGTCTACCATAAATACACCAGCCTTGGATGGCTTTAAGAAGTGATGGGAAGGGTACAAATGCTGTTCTTAGGTACATAATTGGAAAAGGATAAACCTAAAATAAATAGATAATTATATTTTATTAAATTCCATTTGTAAATACCAAAATCAAACTGCTAAAAAAAATTTGTTATTAGTATTCTAGGAATTAATAGATAACTTTAGCAGAAGAATTTCTAATTTTGTTACTTTGGGAATAGGTACTAATAGGCCCTTTTTGTAGGATAGTACCTCTTGGCATTTACCTAGGTACTTCCCTGCACCGGCTTTAAGACCCATTTAAATTTACTACAACTCACGCCTGCGTGGGTGGCCAGGAGGCAAGTGGATAATTAAGTTTCACGACTTTTCGCTCGCTTTAAGCCCCCAACCGCCCCTACGACTCTGCCCTGGTGCGCTGGTATTGAAAAGTTGGCATTTAAAGGGATTAAAAACTTTTTCACATCATTTCCTGCCGATTAAAATGTTCAGCGAGCGGCAGCGACACACTGTGCTGGGGCTAAGCCCTAACTATTGCCATGGCATCGCATCGCACCGTGTTGGAGTGGATCGTCAGAGTGGGGACACAAAGGATTCACATGTCGCCGAGCAAAGTTTTGCATCAGTCGGCTACAAAGTAAAGCTACACTTACTTACAAGCTGTAACTTACGGCAAGTATTAGCTCAAGTGCTCTCAGGGGGCAGGGCAGCCAGCCCACTGGCTCTGCACTCGGAGCCCTTTAAGTTCACCAAAAGCATGCGACAGTCTGGCAAAGAAATCAAGGAAAAATGTAAAAAAACTGTCTGCAGCTTGTTTGATTACGTTTCATCAAACGTGCCCAAAATGCTAAAAGCACACATGTCAAACTAATAAAGTTTAAGCGAGAGCGTTTTGATAACAGGGCCCCCACATAACAACAGGCCGTAAGTAAGTTGGCAGACAGACTTTTCCCCCACTCCGTCGGCAATTTGCATGCACACACCACGTTTGTTCATTTTAAATGCTGCGACATGAAGCCGGGCAAAAGTTATTTCAACTTTTTCTCTCCCAAGTCAGCCTGGCCCGGCTTGTATCGGAATCACTTCTTCGGGCTGCGCTGATGAGCTCCGCTCATAAACTCTACGCACGGAGTGCCTGTGTTTGGCTGCTTGGCACAAACGAGCTTCCCAGCAGTCAGCCATCCCGTTGGCATCCGCATAATGATGATGAATGGCCCGTCCTGGCATATGAAGCGCATTAATACAGTCTGTGCCATCGGATTGGAGGTGGGCAGTGCGTGGGATTCCCAGAGGAAGCACCCTTCTATGACAGTTTGCCCATGAGATCCATATAGATGAGCGTTGCCATCGCTCCTGCTAACAAACTAGCCTTGGTGTTGTCTATTAGTTTGCCACAAAAAGGGCCAAAATGAAGGTAATAATGACTGGTGTAAGCCTAGAAACTTTTGAATTATATTTATGGATTTTTTAATGAAAATGTATAATTAAAAAGTACAGTAAAATAAAGACTAAGGATTCCGATTTTGTTATTTTAATAAGAAAATTTAAATTTTTATTGTTTTCTTAACTTTATAAGCCTTTAAGAATTATGCAAATACAAATTAATATATTAGAAATATATTTAAATATTTGTAACTTATTTTTATAATATCTACAAGTAGTAAATTACTACAAGCTTTAAATTTTTCCTCTACAAAGCCTTATTGCTGATGTTAATATTACATTAAAATCTTGATTGAAAACTTTTAAATCCCTGTTTGTTTGATTCCCCCACCAGTCGAGTGGCCCACCCAATACATTATCGTTAGTTTGCCTGCATAATTAATTAAAACATATTCAAAGTTAATTATTTAAGCCCGTAAAGCTGATTACATAAGATAAACAAAGCGGAATCCGTTATAATTTATAATTACTCGTCGCTTATTGACTTACTTATGCAAATGACCTTGTTTTTGCAGTTAATTATCTCATAAGTTCATAATTGTTTGCATTCACTTATAATACAACTTAATAAAATAGACGACTGACGCAGCATCACTGATAATTTATTTATTTTCCATGTTCTCACCGCTGAATTAAAATTTATCCAGAAGCTTTTCCAACTGTTAATTTCGATGCGGCGATTAAATATGGCATCTATTAATACAAATACAAAATTGCGCAAATAACAATTAAATAAGTAGTCAATGGCCTGTAAAATGTTGTATTAATATTAATGAAACGACAATAAGTATTCTCGTAAATAATTTGCAGCTTGAAACTAACGCAATTTAAATTCTGATTACGGTCAGACCAATTTCCCAGCTTCGAAAGTATTGAAAAAAAAAACGTAATTGTAATTACCCCACCCTGATCCTGTATCGCATAAAATACAATTATTTTCTGTCTACGTTTTCAGTATTAACATTGCAACATTTACTCCGAAAGAGCGGGATGCCTGGCAACATGTAGCTAGCTGCTCAATTTCCCCTTTCAAAATCCAGTCCGAAGGGCGGAAAACTACCCCTAAAGAGGTAAAGGAGAAAGCCACCCCACCCGGTTTCCCTCCCCTTCAATGCACATTTAAATCAAAATTAACCGCAATAAATACATGCAAACCACAATCAGGGCGAAATTGCATAAAATATTTATGTGGCAAACGCATTAATTGAACAACAAGCCAAATGCATTAGATTTAATATGCATTCATATCCGTTGTTCAAATGCATAATTAATGTCAAGGCTTGCCAAAGTTTG